TAATATACATGAGTATTATGAGAGAAGTCATAACCAAATTAAGACTATACATTTATATGATAAATAGATCAATTTATATTAAAGTTATCATTATTGAAAATGTACGTTATTATACATTAAAGTATATTTTGATTCCTTTCTAAATGATGATTTAATATAGTATAACTAACTAGAAATTAAGTTGAAATATTCATATAGTCGCGTTTCATTAAAACCTTCTATTCCATCGATTACAATTTTTCGTCCAGACAAAACTTAACATTTTGTCGCTTCCTCTGACTCCTTAGCAACTCCAATCTTCCTGCTGCATTTTTCTTACCTTATTTTTTTGTAATTTCAATTATTTTGCTCTGAATAATTTTACATCCATAATGCCAGCCGTCGGCTTTTATTTCGCATGAACAATTTCCGCGCGAGAGTTTGCGACTTTTGAAATTATAATCGCCACGAAATCGATTTCCATCTTACACACCACACTGCTCACGTTTTTTCCCTCCTATTTTTATTTTTCACTTCCATTGTATTCCGCTGTTTATTTCCTTTTCCTCTTTGTATATTTATTCCGGCTGGTCTTTTTAACACATGCATTTAAAGCAAAAATCGTTATTGTTTAATTAAATGCGAGATCGGATTTGCATCTATTCATGGGAATCTATTGAATTTTAAATAAAGCCGCGCTTCTACCTCCCACCCACCGACCGTTTCAAACATCAACACTATTTCCAAGCGGATCTATATAATAGGAGTAATCTATGTTTATTCGAATCAATTATTCGCGTAAGCCGATTACCGCATTCTGAATCGCTCCGATGCTTCCGCCACTATTTATTTTCCGTTTGCGATAATTTTCATTCGATTCCAATTAATCGTATTTCATAATTAGGGTGCGCTGTGGATGCGCCGGGTTAAAAATCATTCCCTCCATTAAGACTCTGAAATAAGCACATGTACAATGTTTATTTGTATATACTTCAACTAGTTATTATATCCGAATTAACGAGAATATTATAATTCCAAATATTTCCTTTTAAACTGTTAATAATTTATTTATTTATAAATTTCTGAGTAATTTATTTCATACTTGTTATAATTATTATTATGATTAAATTGTATTCTTTCTATAGTTAGATAATCTGAAGGATAGCTTGATTAAATCTTTTCATCCAACCTTTTTTCTTATATAAAATTGATGGAACTGATGAGAATTACCAGGGATTTCAGTTTATTTAAAGATAATAAAACAAGAGTTTTTTGTCAAGAGTAATGTCAATTAAATCGGTATAGACTGATGTCTATACGTAAGTGCTAGAGTCATTAAGGCAGAGCAGTAGGATAAAGAAAGGATATAAGAAATTTAGATGCGTTTGGTAAATTCTTGGCGAGTCTATGTATGAGTGATTGATACTTCGAAGGCGGACAGCAGGTAATTGCCATCCAGTTCTGCTTCCATCGTGTCCCTGCTGGCAGCCATTACTGTTGAATTTATAGTCTTGCTCATTACATGGCCGTTCTGTGTATGTGCACTGATTGATGTTGATTCTGATAGCTATCCTTCAAATAGGCATAAATATATGTTATAAATATATTCCCATTTCAATCGGAAGACAATTTCTTTGAAGTGTAAATTGTCGTCTTATAAACTGCGCAAATAAAAACGTACTCGGACAAGAACTTATTATAATCTGATAAAAACATATTAATTAAAATAACACAAAACTTTAGAATATTTATTTACTTTTGTATCCTGTAATATTTATGAATGGGTAATACTTAATTATATAAATACATTATAGAATTTAATTTAATAAATTAGGTTTTCTTTAACCAAATAATTATTTGATTCAATTTAACAACGATTTATTAGAATTGAAATATTCACATTATTTGGTGTCTAAGAATCGACTTTTGATTTTAAAAATATTACTTTTCCGAAATGCATATCTACTTGTAAAATAGTAGAATGACGATGACGGGCGATGACTTTTACATTTAATAAAAAAGCTACTAATTAATGCATATAATATTAAATGGTAATCTTTGTTAGCTCCAGGCAGATAGAAACGATAGAAACCTGAACACCACAAACATTTATAAAATATACTGAAGTTTCTCATGATACTTCTACAAAAGTGGATAAATTATGCTAACAGCTGTTTATATTTTAATAGTAATGTTAATGTAAATACATAATGAAATCATGAAAAATATTTATTTAATTCAAAACTTTACAATATTTCTTTGAGAAAGAATTTACTTATTTATGCTTTAGTTTTTAGTTGATTTAATAAATTCAATAATATGTAGTTATTATGTGTCTACTATGTGTATTAATAAAGTTGCTAATGGAATTGCTTGTAAAGATTCTGCTTTCTCCAAAGCCCCGCAATGGATATTTATAAATTATGTATTTATTTCCAGTTGTTGTTTTTCCTGTTTGCCCTTTACGCGGTGGTTTGGAAAGGAAATATAACAAGTTGAAATCCACTCCGGCGGCATACCGCAATTGTTTTTGGCAAATGAAGCTCGTAAAAGATTCGGATGGAGGCAGTTTTGGCTGCGACGGCGAATTTATTTCGCGGCCAAATTGTCCATCCGGTTAAACGCTTTTCGGCCGTACGCCAATTGCGCGAAGGCCTCCGGAGGAGGACGGGGCGCAAAAGTGGTATACGAGGGGAGGTCTAAGAACGGACCGAGAGATTTTGCATCAGTATTATCATTTTTTTTTTTTGGAGGGTCGGTTTGTCCGAAAAAAAACGACCCATTTCGCGCCCTCGCAAAACTCCGGTCGCGCCCCCCGTGGTTCGCATCCTTTCTCAGAGCTCATCAAAATCAAATTGTTGTTGCTCGAGGGATCTCTGGAGACGGCGGCCGGAGGAGGATACGGAGGCGGGCGAACGCGAAATGGAAATTCTCATCCTCGTTTATTTGCAAAGTGGCATTGCCGTTCTGCCCGGCTTTATTACGACGACGAAATCCCCGCCGTTTAATTACACCGTATTATGCGGCGAATGCTCACTACATCAAAAATAATAAAGCCAAAGTGTGCTATTTTCCCCTCTTTCAACTACCCCCTTCCATTGGTTATTAAAATAGTTACAGCCGCTGCTTATTAGATCAACTAAATGATCTCCATCGTAACTTTGACCAACGTCATTTCGAAGATTAATTACCTTTTAATTAAAACTTCACTCATGCAAAACATTAGGAATTACATAAGATTTCTAATACACTGTAAAACATCTTACAACATTCATCTTATTATATATCTTATTTACGATTGACAAACATAATATAAACATATTCATTTAATAAAATTCATTCAAATTACATCACAACTCAATATTATAACATAGTTTGCAAACATAACTCGTTTCAGAAACGTGCTTGTAACTCAAAGCACTCTTATGTCAAAGCGAGAATGCTATACGAATACCCACAATCCCGAGCGGCCTGTGATCACGTGATGCTCTGCAGACGAAGCGAATAGATAATACTCGTATTGCAAGACGTGTTGCTGGTTTATTAAGTTAAACATGTTGCTCGACTTGCAAAATACTCGCAGACCAAGTTACTCACAACCCAAGGTTTCACTGCATTCGGATATTATGTTGTATTATAGTTTCAATTTTACTCCTTTCTACCACAGACTAAAGTGTATCTACTACTACTAAAGTTAGTTCATAGCATTTTCGATTAGAATTATGGAAATATTTCATTAATGAAGTTTTATTCTAAAACAAAATTAAATTTTATTAACTCTACCTTTATTTTGAAACAAGGTATTTAAATAAATCTGGTTTTTTACTATTGAGGAAACAACGTTATTAATTGTTTGATCTTGAAATGCAAACTGATTTGTTGCTATGCGAAACATCTCATTATAATATGAATCACATTTTTTTCACAATCAATAAAATAATAAGAGATATTGAATTGTGATAATAATAATATTTACTGTAACTATAAAATTAGAAAAGAAAAACTCAATACAATAACAAAAATAAAAGTCAATTGCTGCAAAGGGCAGAAATTTGAAATTTTTGCAATTTAATTATAAAATTAATGATTTTAAGCAAAGCTTAATAAGCATATATGTATAAACATACAATAAAATTGTAATAGGATGTGCATACTACTTTATATACTTTTTTACATTATTATCTGTCATATTAATTTAGATACGTGATCAAGTAACTGTGTTTTACTATTGCGTAATATTTAACCTTTTGGCTAAATTAACACAAAAGTAATATAAAATAGAGCAAAAAGATGTATAGTTGTTACAAATATTTATGTTTTTATATCATATTCTTTTGTCTATAATTTTACATGTATATTTGTTAGAATATATATATTATTTATAAAATAATTAAGTTACGAGAGAAAGAAAGAGTAAAATCAAGACCATTTTTTACTATTGGGAAAATTATTGCGATAAAAAAACGTACTGTGACGGAAATGAAGTAAGTGAATGTTATAAACTGTTATATTATAAAAGCTTTTATATATTATTGACAACTTTGAAATAAATTCGTTTCGTATTATGCGAGTTATTGTATATTATTGAACTATTAATTGTTTTGAATGTATGTGTGCGGAAACATGGCTATTCATTGGGCAGGACAATGCGATATTAATTAACGGTCTGTGCGTCTGACTAATATATATTTAACAATGGTATGAAATAGTGATGTAATGATTATTTATTGTATGCCTATATGTATGCATATATATATATATACATATATGTGCGTGAGAGGTGGTATTATGGGGTCTGTACTGTATAGTATATGTTGGTTACTATTGATTTCTGTGATGTTGTTTAAAGTTGAGGGATGGCTGGGCATGGCGGGCTTGGCCACTCTCTCTCTCTCTCATACACACACGTAGACATAGTGTGTGTGTATGTTTTCTCTCTCTGACACACAACGTACTAGTAGTGATGTCCATGTTTGTGTATGTGTGTGTAGCGTATTGGTAATGATGGATGTTTGTTGCAGACGAGGTGGACGTGATCGGTTACACAAGCACCCAAAGCGATACGGATGACCACTCCAGCGTGCAATCGGCGTCCAGTGACAGCGGGGTCACAATGTCCACCAGGCTCCTGACCATCTCCGAGATCATGGAGAGAGCCTACATGTAGACATACCAGAGGCGACGTCACACAGCGACCAGAGCCAGTCCTCTAGTCAACGAACATGTCTGCTGGAAATTATCATCTTATTCATCTTATAAATTATTTATATGTATATTGTACATATTTTAAATTTAAACAAAACAAACAAAAAAAATATTGTTTAGAAGAGTATGAAATAATATAGTTTGTATTTTAAGTATATTGTAATATATATGTGTATATATTTCTGTATATATATGCATATATATCTATAAAGATGTAAAAACAAAAAACACAAAAAAAGAAACATAAGCGAGGGACGTAAAAATAAGCTCATTGAGATTAAATAATATTTCATACCCTCCTAAAATAAGAAAAATTATTAACACGTGCATAGTAATTTTGGTGTTGTTAAATGGAAAAGGGGCCGGACCCTGCAGGCCCATCTCCCTTACGAAGAGGCCTGCCCGGTCCGGACCTGAAACACAGCGCGCGTGCCCCAAAGCACGCGTGCCTTTTCCCGGCAACCTAAAAATGAAAACAACAAAAAAATATATATATTATATACTCCGTGCGAGTCTAACACTAAAAGAAAGAAGAAAATTAATTAATTGAAAGAAGAAGAATAAAAATGCAAACAAAATATTTAAGAAATTGTATAAAGAACAAAATATGAAAATAATAAAATATACGCCTGTACAGTGTGCAAGATATCGCGGTGCGGGCCACCCCGCAAATGGCAGATCTCCGGCCCGTTTCCGCTCCCCCCCCCAAACATCGGTCAGCATTCAAAGAGTACAAATTCTTTATATGTCCCGATGATACGGGACGCTATTATATTTTTATGACGCGGTCAGGACGTGCGTTCCAATTGGGAACCGCGCCCGGTCATTGCGAGAACTGAGCATAAAGTATGGTGTGAGAGTGCGTGCGTGAGTTCGAGAGCTTGACAGGTGATTGCACGGGTACTGATAATAATAATCCGGACCGGAGGGTCTTCGCATCACCGTTCCCTTCGATGCCCTTCTCGGTCGTCGTCGTCCTGAGACTATGCCGAATAGCCGAATACCGCAAACTCCATCCAACAATCAATCCACACTTGAAAGGATAGTCCTTTTTACAATTTTCTAGATCTCACACCCTGGAGTGGTTCCACTTATTCAGAAATAAAACAACATTTCAGATCATTCACCTAACGGAGACCCATACCGACCCAGATGTTTTTTTTTCTATTATTATTATTTCAATTTCTTTAACGATTTCAATATTTACATACACACACACAAAAAATCATTTTGTATATTCAGTTCATTGTTTAGCATTATATTCAACATAAAAAAATACAATTATCCATTTATTTTTATTATTTTATTATTATAAATCAACATAATCATTTTTGTAATAAATTCCCTTTTTTAAAACGAGTTTTTATTTCTTATTTTGTCGTAATTTTCAATCACTTTCCATCAATTTATACTAACAACGTATATCCAAGTACTAATCGTTTGTAGCGATAAAACAATTAATGCAGTCCATCTAGTTAAGCAGTACATATTTTAGGGTTCTCTTCTTGGACCATTCTAGGATATGAGAACGAAAATTTATCGTCGAGGAAAAGGAGGACTAGCCTAAAGACACATACACACACAAACACAAACATTTACACGAGAATCACACGAACACAAATAAAGATAATCAAATTAAATCAAATCCCTGTTTAATGATCGGCAGAGTCGCGGATACGGCAGGGTCTAAGACTATATTATAGAACATAATTATTTTTATAAGTACTTGCTAGAAGCTTGTGATTCGAATGAGAGACATGAGAAGAGATAAAAAGTAAATAACGAGTGTAAAGAAATCATGTAAATATGAATGAGAAAGCCGAAGGGAGCCAAGATCCGAAATCAGTTTAAAAAATAACATTTATTACGAAAGAAAATGAAACCCTCCGCTCTAAGAAACATAAAGTAAAATAATAATAAAAATAAATCATTTCTATAAATGTCTGCTTCTCTTAGCCTACAGTTCGCAAGAAAAAAATAATAAGAAAGTAAAAATAATAACAAAATAAAAAAAATAAATCTATAGGATTCTTTCTGTGTTTCAATTACTCATGAAAATATCGCTTCTTTTGCAAAAGTAAAAAATAAATAAAAAAATAAAAAATAATTAATAAAAGTACGAAAAAAAATGAGAGTAATAATGAAGATTTAATGTGTATATAAACTGAATCACTTGTGTTACTGACTGATATATGTAATGAGGCAAACAAATGATATTGGTGGAATGATCCGGTAAGCAAGCAGCAATATGAATTGATACAGTGCGTTGCGAATCGTCACATCTTTCTCTAATTTTGAACTCGTCCTTTTTTTTTATTCATTTTTGAACGTTTCACGCAAGTCCGTCTGTCTTTTTTTATATTGTTTACGGTGAAAGTTTCAATCTCGCGGTCGAAACATCTTGCTGCTTCTCTTCTAATCTGCCCAAACTAACCTTTTTCCATTCCCCACTTTCAACCTATCCCTTTTTATTAGTGAATATATATGCTCCCGGGATGCTAAAAGAACCATTCCAAGAAGAAAAAGTCAAGAACGAATAACAAATGTATGAGACAAAACATCTAAAACTTGAGCATTTAGTTATTGAAACCAGCACCTTCTGTCACCTGATTCAACTCTTTCAATGATTGTATGAGAATTTAATAATTGTACATACATTACCTATACATGTAACTATTCATATTGCATTGTTCTCTTCAGTTTTATGTAATTATTTTATTATTTTCCAATTCAATTGAAAAATCAACAACAACAAAAAAAATCCAAAAAAGGAAACCGCAAAAAAATATAAATACAAAGACAAAAAAAAAATAATAAAAATAAACCAAACTTGTGTATTATTACTTAATTATTTGAAACAAATTTAGATGTAGTTTCGATTATACATAAATATAAATACTATAATAAGAAACAAAAAAATACAAACATAATGAAAAACGAAAATACAAAAAATTCTACTTTCGGTATCTCTCTCAGATACAAAACACGTCCAAGCATTTATAAGTTTTATTCTAATTTAATTTGTCATCAAAGTGTACATTTAAAATGCAATATTAGGTTTTATTAAATATAATTATTTTTTTCCTTTGGACAATACTATTTATTTCGACCTATATGTAAATATAACCTTTATCCTTTATTTATGTACGACTTTGTTTTATTTAATACCTGCCCCCATGCATCCTAACTATTATCTTGATATGTTAATAATTTATTTTGTTAAGTATATAGAAGACGTAGACATTTTAGTTTGTTTTAATATCAATTAAGAAAGAGGAAACACCTACTAGATCACTTCAGATTTTTTATACTATTATTATCTTTTATATAAGCCCGGCTAGCTCAGTCGGTAGAGCATGAGACTCTTAATCTCAGGGTCGTGGGTTCGAGCCCCACGTTGGGCGCTTTCTTTTTTTCATCACCTTTTGAAAATTGAATGTTTTGTTAGTATTTTTATTAGAGTATTTTATTTCTATAGAATAAGATAAGGTAACTTATTGAAGGGTTCCAGAAAGTCAATAATAAAATAAACCAAGTAAGTTATATTCGCATAAATCGTATTAATTTTGTAGAGATCATTTAGATACAGTCCTAATATACTTAATATCAAAATATTTTGCAGAGACGGCCAACGCGTCGAAATCGAAGAGACTCATAGTCGATCGCAAACAGATGAACAAAGTAGATTGAGATCAGTTTTTAAGTAGCAAAGTCGAACTCAAGAACGAACAAGTTATACAACATATGAGTTAATAAGTAAATTACTTCAGAAAAGCTGTTAAAAAGTGATGTAGTATTTCTAATAAAAATAATAATTATTTATTGGTTAGATAATTAAAAGAAGCATTTAGATACAAAATAAAACCAATGTAAAAAAAGTAACCCTAAAAATATCAATTCCATAGAAATAAATACCTTTTTTTTTTATTAAATAAATAAATACCTATTCACCTTAATCTTCTCGTCCTTTTTAATATTCGCAAATACTATTATTATCGTTAACTTTGTGGACTTTGGGCTAACTCTGTTTGGGACTCTGTCAGGACCGGATATCGTGAAGCCTATATACCAATTATGTAAATGATGACAGGGGAGCGAAATCTCACTCAAATATATTTTTGTGGACAAATAAATGATGACTAAAAATTCTAGAAAATCCAGGGATGGAATTCTGGACACATTGGAATATTGTCTGGTTTTTTCGTCGTGGAGTCTCAGTAGTAGAAATTAAATAATTCTATTGGTTTATAACAGCTTTATTTTCTTTCTAAGAGTATGTAGATACTTTAACACTTTTACTAAGACTATGCTCGAATTTAAAGATTCTGCCGAGACTAATCCTAAAGACATTTTCTACTTACAAAGTTAATTCTTATTATTACGGGGTGGGAGTTATGATTGGAAGTAGGGATTTGTATATATTGATGATTAACCGTTCCTACTGAATTCGGCCTGGGAGGTTTTCTTTAATACGAGTCTGTTCAAAATCTTTTGCATTTGTTTATATGAAAATGGGATCGATTTTGATTCTACGTGGAAATATTATGCCATAGGATGTGCTTATAAAAGGATTCGGAGTTCTCAAAAAAATATAGGAAATTAATGGGATTGTTTACGCTTGGTCTACATTAAAGTGTATAATCTTACCATTATTTGGAGGCCCTTTAATTGGGCGGGACGCTGGGCAGCAGTTCACAACGATATAGTAGATTTGCTTTGATTATTATGCCCTCATTTGTAAGTTCTACAAAAATGTAATATAGTTTAGTTCAAATCTATAGACAAGAGTAAAACATAATAATTATGATGATACAGTAGAACCTCGCTTAACGAGCATAATTTGTTTCAGAATCTTATTCGTGACGCGAAACACTCATTAAGCAAACAATTTTCTCAATATAAATAAATGTAAAATACCATAATGAAAAAATTATATAGATTGTTCAGGAGCATGAATCATCTTCTTTCTCGGAATGAACTAACCTGAAATGCGAATCGATGCAGAAAACAAACATAACTAATTTATTATTATGGAAACATAAAATACACCTAATTCTTTTTTAGTCTTTTTTTTTATTATCTTATTGCAGTCTTCTTGCGGCTTTTTTCGGGAGACTTTTTTTGCTAGTGTTATTATACTTTGCACAAAAAAATAATCACACATAATATGTCTAAATACAAGGTTGGAAAGTAATGTAGCAGACGCACAATCCTGAACTTTCCTTCACGTCATACGTTATACGAAACATCGTTCCTTGTGAGTAATTTTTTTAACATTTTGTTTCGCTCGTTATGCAATTTACTCATTATAAGAGGTGCTCGTTAAACGAGGTTCCACTGTATATCTTTACCATAGATATGTTATAGTAAATCTATACTAAAGAGTTAAAAAACCTCAAATTTTCATATCAGTTAATCAACCATTAAGATTTATAATAATAATTAGGAGGTAGGATTGTGAATAATATAGAACAGAATAATTTGTATTCCAGGTAGTTAGTATAGTCAGCCAAATAAGCTCATACAAAAATACGTAACAGTCAAATTTCAAATATGAAAGCTGAGAAAATGAAATAATTCTTTAATAATCTTCTTATTATTTACATTTTTATTGCGTAAATTAAACTTTAATTCTGTAATTATATAATATATACAAAAATATGATCTGTATGTTAAATAATTGTGTAAAATTTAAAACTGTTTTTTTTTTTAATTTTATACTGCAAAAAGATTACTATATTTTTTTAAATTATTATAGAATAAAAGGAAATTTTTCTTCCAAAAAATCAATTCTGTTTCATAATATTTTTGTGCGAAAAGTTTATCCAATTAACCATAATTTATTTATCAGGATAACATAATACGGATACCGGACGGAAAGACCAAGGTCGATTGTCCTTTGAGCAGAAGTTATTTTTTGGGTTTATAATATTTTATATAATTATTTCATATCTGGGCCGCACCAAGGAAATCTTGCGTTTGGGTCCAATATCTACTTTGCGTCTCTGCCTCAAAAAAATCAAAAGAGGAAAAATTTATTATATAGAAAATGACTATAAATTTGCGCATTGGCTACTATTTTTTTTTGCATCATCCTTGCTTTGGCAATTTTTCGGTTATTAACAAATACATTTTGCTTAATTATTATTTCTGTATTGTTTATTCATTTCAATATAATTTAAATGTAGAAATGATAAACATTTATTAAAAATGAAGTATATATTATGTTCATTTTTTCTATTGTATTTGCCTCAAAACGTTAATCTTCAAAATGTGCACAACATTTGATACATATTAAGTTATTATGATGAAAACAAGTTCAACCTTCATTGGTAATTAATTATTTACAATGTTTTATTTAAAGCGTCTTTTACTTGTTAGACAAAGTTATGTTTCTACTATATTTTTAAAATAATATATTATATTTCTTATGAAAATTATGAAATGATTTACTTAAAACATCAATATTTGGATTATATAATACATATGGTCAATAGTCCTTTATAACAATTGATCTTTTTTATTTAATTATTATGGTTAGATAAATATATCATTTATTAGATATTTGTTAAGAAATATGATCATTATTAATAACAATAATAATATTCGTAGTATATATAATAATTCATACTATAACTAAGGAAACAAAAAATAGAACTCAAAATATACAAACAATAGAAGTGATCAATCAATTTATTTGAAAAGTTATTGTATATATCTTAATACTCTGAAAACAAACGTTACAAACGGCAATTACAAATTGTACTTCTTATTAATCTATACTCATATGTACAATCACTTTACAAAACACGAGTAAGGCAAAGGTACACACCTAATTCTTTAATTTGCGAGTTTACGTTGGCCACGATATCTAAAACAAGATGAACTAGATAACAAAGAAATGCTTTAAATAATTAAATAAACTTTAAAAAGAATATAAACAATATATAATAATAAACAACAAATAAACTTCCATTTGAAAATATCACATAAAATTAGTTAACAGAGCGACCAGCGCGGCAATATATAATCATGAATGATACAATATTATAAATACATAATTTCATTTAAAAGATATCTATTTAATTGATTTACCAAAACACGTTCTATATAAATACTATGTTTGATAAACATTTGTAAATGGCAAGCATTTAGCCTCATTTAATTCCATTCAGTGGTAATTAGTGTTTTTGTTTTTAATCCAATAACGATAATTTAATTATATAAACATAGAATTTTTCATTGGCTCCAATCGAAAATGTTTGTCTAAATTTAGAATTTCAAATTACACTTTGGTATATAACAGTAAAGAATCTCGGATCCACATAAACTAAACAACATTTAGGAACAACAAACGTAAACCGTAACTTCTTTGCTTATGTTTCATTTTAAACTATTTTTTTTAAACTAGAACAGGTATGCCTATACATGTTCATTACAATATTTTAAGTTTAAATAGATTTTAAAGTTGTGTAAATAGTAAACATCAATAGTTAACTAGTAGATATTTCGAGTGTATGCAATACATGAGAGATATTGTATCTGAGTTTACAGTTCCTTATACCCTGCTTATAACATACGAAAGCATACAAACTAAAATTAATGTAAATATATAAATTTGTACATTTTGACTAGTTAATATAATCACATTCAAATTAACAAATTAATAAATGGTAAAGTATATTCAAGGAATGATTCAGCTTTATGTCATCCTTCCCATTTCGATTTAGTCCTCAGTCGACATTAGTCTAATGCTATCTTCGCCGCCACTCCTGAGCACGTTTGGTGCCAACAGCGAGAATCGATCTTGATATGGTCGTGGAAGGCCCTTCAATGGTGAATGATCGTTGGGCTCCCAACTGGCGTGTTTACTTTTAATTTCGTATTTCGTTTTATCCTTATTCTAAAACAATAATTAAAATTACATACATTATTATTTCATTATTGTATTGAAAGTAATTAATAATATATTATGTTAGTTATGTTATTATTAGTTGGCGATCGATTAACAATACGAACTCAAATTGCGGTACTTAACAAATTTATATAAAAAAAATATCATTTTCTCTCTTCATTCGCACGAACGTACTCGTCGTTCATACGAACATACACTTTCTGACAGAATATTACCATCATCCCAACGATACCTAATTTTAAAAAATATTGAAAATTCCATAAAATATCAGTTTTGTATTTCACATCATTGTTAAAAATTAATTTTCATATGAAATTGAATAATATTGATTAATTAATTTAAAATTTATCAAATTAAAAAATACGAAATTATTGTTAAAATCTAATCATAATTAAATGTTAGTTTTCAATTCACAACCAACTATGATGTATAATAAATTAGGCTTGGCGTAATTATCGAAATGTTAAACGACAATCATCAGAAATAATTAATTGAAATCGATTACTACTCACAGTAACTTCAACTTGTAAAGTTTCGTCTTCGGGAAATTGAAATATTCTGTGGTTCGGCGATTTGGGCCAATTCGTCGGCGGTGGACTTCTTATCATATGCTCATGGATTCCAGGAAGCGTTAGTGGATCTATGTCCAGATCAGCTGGAAATTCCTAAAAAAATACATAACAAAAGTTTTGATATTGATTTAGTTTATTTAATTATAAAAATCTTTTAATGTACTGCAACTATCACAAAAATAATTATTCCAATAAGATCTAAAGTTTTAACTTAAACATGACTCATAAATTTAAACTAACAATGTAAACTTAAACATTTTTTTAGGATATTTATATAATCAAATACTATAGGAAAACATATTTTATAAAACCATTTGTTTTCATAACATAATTCTAATTAGAAACTAATATTTGCTTTAAAACTTTGAATGACAAATATAATAAACATAAAATAAAAACAATATTTACCTGAGACATGAGATTAGTATCATCTGCTTCAATTTCATCAATGCAATCAGCTAAACTCTCTCTGCTTGCAATGACTTGCTAATGAATAAACAAATATTATTAATAAAAGACCTTTGAAAATCATGTATACTACCTTTATGAATGGATTGTCTTGCCTGGAAGCCCTTAAAGCCTCCATATCTTGATCTATATTTCTTATTCTGCCAGGGGTTAAAGTTACTGTTGAAATTGCTGGTGAGGGAGGATTGGAAACTGGTAAATGTAAGTAGTAATCAACAGCAGATACACTAAGGGTCGATTGTGCGCGATTCACATTATAACTGCGTGTTTCTAATCGCAAAAATAATTAACATAAGTACGATAGTAAATTTCCTTGTTTTACCTTTTCTCCTGTTCATGGCTGCAATATTCCTGTGTCGTCCTATGGGGTAGGGTTCTATAGTGAGAGGAATACTAAATTGTTTATGGATATGCGTGCGTTAATGAGTAAATATCGACCAAATGTTTGTTATTCTATTACATGTTTGTTTTACAAACCCGGTTGTCAACTGACTGACTACCACTGACTACTGACTGCACGTCAATCTTGACACATGCGCCAACTGCTGATACATTGACCTATTTCAATGTCTCCCTCTTCCACCCTCTAAAAACTCACCCTACCAATATCATGCTATTTGTACATGAACTAATATGCTAGATATGACATTACGCATTGTTTTGGTCACATGTACAACAAACATGACGTAACTGGTGATTTGTATAACAGATAAATGAATAATATTTACATGATCCTGATATTAGTAAAATGACAGATACTACCCATGTAACGTCATGCGCTAAAAAGAACCAAAATTAAACCACGATTTCTTTGAGTAACATTGTATAACTTTTACAGTAGATAAGGTTGCAATACGTCTGGGTTTTCCCGGACATGTCCTGTTTATTCATGCTCCAGGGGACTCTCATGAGTGATTTTGATCAAAGGACGGAATTTTTAAAATTTATATTTTATTTACTTTTGGCTAATAAATTATAAATAATATTTTTTATATCTTTTTTGAACTGTCCTATTATGATTGCAAATATAGTTTGTATGGGTACAACCTTAATGTTATAAAAGATATTTCGTAAAATACAAAATAGTTTCTTTTGTTTTGGTAGATTAATTTCAATTCTAATTAAAAATAGTAGAATAACATAAAAATATGGTCAATTAAATATATAAGCAAATATAATATTTTTTGAACAATTAACGTTTGTCTAAATCTTTGACAAACGTTAATTGTTCAAAAATTTTAAAACTTAGTAAAATATTATAGATGAGTACTGTCAAGGTTCCCATCTACAAGAGAATTATATCACCAATTTGTTCATGTGTTTTCAGTTATATTGTGATTAAAAATCAATTTTATTAAAAAATATAATTAATCCAAATTATAGTTATTTTTAATATCATATACTTAAATATTATTTTTGAATCTTCTATTATATAATTTGTTAATTAGTGACAAATTTTCATCAGAATCAACATTAAGAAGCCATTGTTGGCTCATTATCAGTAAATAATAATTAAGATAATACTTATCTTTTAGTAGCAATAACAAAATATTTGCTACTATTAGACAGACTTTAATAATAGGTCTTAATTATAACAAATATTTGCAACTCATGAAATACGTCAATATTCGCACAAATTGTATTTCTTATATGAAAAAATACTTTAGAAGATTTATGTATAAATTTATAATTAAAAGTTAATGCATTTATTTTTTAACTTATGTTTATTTACATCAATCTACACATCATAGTGATAATTACTCTTCAACTTCAAAAGTGTAATGCTTCTTGCCTTGAAGAGGATATTGCTTTGGAATTAGACCTGGGAACATTTTAAAGTTTTCGCAGACTCCATAAACAATAAAGATGCCCAGCATTACTCCAGTAAATTGAAAGAATTGCTTATAAACTGGCGTCCTGTGTTTGAACATAACATCATATCTGTCTTCTCCATACATTTCAAAATCTGCATGAAGCTAAAAGTAAAGAAAATGTTAAATCTTATATAAATAAAGGCATATTAGATCTTACAGGCTCATTAAAGTTTCTCTTCAATTCAGGATTATCCCAAGGGTAATGTGGATCTCTGGAATCTCCAGAAGTTAAAGGAAGTTCTGGGTAATCTCCCATCCCAGTTCCATCATTTGCATAGGGCTTGTACTCGGAAGAGATAAGTCCATACTTTTCAGCTGCAGCATTTCGCTCTTCTTGAGTTTTTGGGAATGCGGCTGGCTTGAAGTCCTTATTCCAATCTATTAAATGTTATTACATAACCGTATTAAAAGGATTGTATGGTATATACTGCACATTTAAAGCAGTTTTAATAAATTAAATTTTGGAAAACTCACGATTCCTAATGGCTGTGAATAATATTGGGTTTTTGGTGGCGCAAATTTGCGCAAATTTCCTGCTTGTATTTACTAAAGACATTTTTCTTAATTTCAGAATTAAGAAAATTTGACAGTTGCAAACTGAAAACAGCTGTCAAAGCCGTCAAATATATTTCATTCAATGCCAACTGCAGAAATTGTAAGATGTTTCTAATAGGAATTATTTTTAATTTAATTATATAAAATTATAAATATAATTAAATTAAAAATTTTAGCAAATCTGTATTTGTTCTGAAACAAATGATTTTAAAATACAATATTTTTGACATATATATTTTGACAGATACGTCAATTTAAACAGACATATACATAAGTCAAAGCTAACAAAATATTGGTCAATTAATGTTTGTTGTTACGTTGACAAAATAAAGAATATAAGAATTTTTCAAAATGATACACAGTTTGTTTATGATTAATTCGTCAGGGTAAGTGAATTTATTAATTGATTGATATATAATAATATGGAAAAATATGTTTTCAGAGACGTTTTCTTGGAGAAACATTGGAAAAGTGTTGTGTCTAGATCTGTCTGTGATTATTACTTAGAAGCTCAACGTACTAATCCGAATGATATTCCACCAGTTATAGCAACATCTCATCATTATCTATTAAGCATCCGTCGAGGAGGAGTTCATTTTGTTGCTGTCTGCATGGAAGAAGTTCCTCCATTATTTGTTATTGAATTTTTACATAGAATAGTAGACACATTCCAAGTAAGTTTGATTATAAGTAAATATGTAAAGAATTTTAATTTGTTTTCCGATTCAGGATTATTTTTCAGACTGCACTGAATCTATTATTAAAGAAAATTATGTAGTAATTTATGAGGTAATTAAAATTAGAGAAATAGTATTTACATAAACAAAATAAATTTTTCATTGTAGCTCCTTGATGAAATGTTAGATAATGGTTATCCATTAGCTACAGAAAGTAATATTCTTAAAGAGTTAATAAAACCTCCCAATATTTTAAGGACTATTGCTAATACAGTAACTGGTAAATCAAAGTAAGTTTATTATCAATATTTAAAAACATGTAAATATATCAAATGTTTTAGTGTTAGTGGAACTTTACCTACAGGTCAATTATCGAATATTCCATGGCGGAGGACTGGTGTGAAATATACCAATAATGAAGCTTACTTTGACGTTGTTGAAGAAGTTGAAGCTATCATAGATAAAACTGGATCAACAGTATTTGCTGAGATTCAAGGATATGTAATTGATTTGAAAATACATAACTATAAAATTATATTTATTATATTGAATTGCAGATTGATTGCTGTATAAAGTTAAGCGGTATGCCAGATTTGACGTTATCTTTTATGAATCCCAGGCTGTTTGATGATGTAAGTTTCCATCCATGTGTAAGGTACAAACGATGGGAATCTGAAAAAATCTTGTCCTTCATTCCGCCAGATGGCAATTTTCGGTTGATCTCTTATCACATCAATACCCAAAGTGTTGTGGCTATTCCTATTTATGTACGTCATAGTTTGTCTATAAAATCTGGCGAACAAGGCCGTTTAGAGGTCACTGTAGGCCCAAAGCAAACTCTCGGTAGAACTATCGAAGGTAAACAAAATATAAATCCGTAATAATTTTCTACTTAATTCCAATATGATTTAGGTGTAAAATTGGAAATACATATGCCCAAGAGTATACTCAATTGCAATTTAACATCAAACCAAGGCAAATACAATTTCGATCCAGTGGCTAAAATTTTACACTGGGATGTTGGAAGAATCGATGTTGCAAAGCTACCTAATATACGTGGATCTGTAAGTATTTTCTTATCAATACGTTACAACGATTTTACTTATTTAATTATTTCCAGGTGGCAATTGCAAGTGGGGCAAATACTACCGAAATCAATCCTTCGATCAACGTGCATTTCACAATAAACCAATTAGCTGTAAGCGGATTGAAAGTATACAGGCTTGATATGTATGGTGAGAAATATAAGCCTTTCAAGGGAGTGAAATATATTACAAAAGCGGGACGATTCCAAATTCGAATGTGATGTGAGTCATAATTACTTCATTATTTTTTTTATATATAACTATTTTAATATATTCAAGATATATATTTTGTATTTTTATTTAATGCAGTTCTATTCCGTTCTGTCATTTTTAATCACAGTCAAGCAATTTATATAAGGCTTTAATTTCGTTTTATTCGATTGAATTGTTACTAAGCACAGGCATTTGGATCTTTTTAATTTATTTTATAGATTTTTTATGTGGAGAAATTCCATGTATTTCTATATTATTTACGCTGCAAATTTTATATTGAAATCACTCAGGAAGATATTGTAAAAAAGATGATAATATGCTTATTCATATAAGAAAATTGAATATATATATATGAAATGCACACTAATGTTTTCACTAAACATTACATACAAATGTGTTAAATTGTAAATTAAATTGAAAATAAACAAATGCTAAGTATTTTATATTTTTTACATGTTTACCCAATAACTAAATAAATAGATTAATTATTTTTAAATAACAAAAAATACTGTAATAATAATAACAACATAGCAAACATTCATAAAATTTCATACAATGTATAAAATATGAAACAAAATAATATATAAAAACTACCGTTTTCCATAATTAATTGTCGGTGTTTCATAACTGCTTAAGGTCATAAATAATTATTTTAAATCATGATTTTTAATAATCTACAAAGAAAATACCTCATTGTAAAATTGCTTAATTGTACAGGATAATCGCATTGCTTTTCCTTTCTAATCATAGACGTAAATTTTGTTTTATTAAAGTAATGTTTTTGATAATGGTTGTGCGCCCACGACCCATAATTTGAAAGACACAATTTGGATAAATTTACTTAAGTAATTCATTCTTACATAAATAATCTCATATTAATTTAAAGGAACGCATTATAGTATATAGGCAACTTAATTAATATATGTGTGTATGCTGTTGCATATTATATTTTATAATACATCGAATTATTCTGCTGCATTTGATAGAAAGGCCTCATACAATGAAACGATTTTAATTCAATTATATAACTTTTTTTTTTTTCTAGCTTTTATTGTTCATTCACAACCTGCCATCTCGGGCTATAAGTTGAATGCTTTTGTTAGAAAAAAAAAGAAAATAAAAACAGAAAAAACAAAATAAAAACTTGGAGCGGAACGATTTCCCATCGGAAATCTTCCTATAAACAAACATAAATTTAACTAAAAAAGAATGACTCGATGACAATAATAACCCAAATAAAAATTGATTTTGACGGCACTATGAAAATTCAAACAACAAAAATAATTGTTATTTTCTAAAGGGGAGGTCGAGAGTGTTGTGTCTCTTTAGTCTGTGGGGGGTGTCACTATTGTCTAGGAGGGAATTATATAACTAAATTAATGAATTCGAAAAATAAGGTGGAAATCAAATTTATCCATAGTTTTTGGTTTCTTACCAACACAATATAATTTAGTGATATGAAAATATATTTGATGTTATTTAATATTAATAAGCCCTGGTGGAATAACTGCGGTCAGTAGTCTTTTATTTATGTATACTATATATAATTTACTTAACTTCTATTAGTTAATAAATATAATTATTTACTCACTAAATATATTAAGTTAAAAAAAATATAATTATGCATGCAATAAAATTGTGATCATAATTGAAACACGTTTATTGCTTAAGACTTTTCAATATTTCTAATGAAAAATAGGTCAAACAAACAAGTTCCAAATTATACATAAAAACATTAATTAAATCAACTGTTACGAAGCAGATTCCAGTTATAGATTTTTCTGATATTTCACAATTATAGTAGTCTACTAGAATGCAGATTTCTTTGAAGTTATCATTTCACAGAATATTCTTAATGATTCGTAAACTTATTATTCTTAAAACCAATGAAATTCAATTTTCTCAATAACTTTTATGTAGGATTCGTGGAAACTTAAGATATAGAATTGTCGTAGACAAATAGTAGAATCACTTGAAAATGACATATCTACAAATTAACTTGATTTCCGCTAACCATATTGGTTACAAGATTGTCAGAACTGTGATTCATTACAAAATTTACATATTTACATAGAAAAAAAGTTCATTAAATAACAGCAATATTGAAATTCTGCAGAGGATCTGGTCCTATATATTGTGAATAATAATTAGTAATATTAATTGATTTTTTTGGACAAATACAAGTATTAAAAAATATATATATTCTGGTACATTCATTCTATTAAATAAGCCATGAAAACATAAGAAATATTACTAGTAAAAAGGGCGCAGTTAACAAATATCCATATAATATAAAGATTCCAATCAAAGTATGTAAAGAAAATTATAGGTGAGCCACGAGTCATTACGAATAGAAAAAATCATGAAGATTTTAATATTGATACAGCTGAGATGATATCACAAAGCTGGGTAGGTATATATCCGAATTACATTTTAATGTTCTATCTATTACCTTGTTTATCGTCAGTAGTATTTTAAAAGTAGCTTATATATTTAAATGTAAACTTTAAAATTGGAATGTTTTTACATAAAATGTATGTTTTGGCATATAAATTTGTTTGTGGGGATATTTTGTATATAATAATGCTCAAGTTATATATTGTATTCACAATTTTGTCGTACCAGTAAAGGTTAAAGAAGTGTATAATTAATAACTCGGGGAATATAGACGGCTGTAATATGTTGGTGTTCAGGTAGAGCAACTGGAAGTAATGCTCGATCCGAAATAAAAAAAAGTGTTTAAGGAAAGAAGAAAACAATGGCAACCGATAGTTTAAAAAAAAATGATCGAGGTGGAGGCGTTCAGGGTAGAACATCTTCATTGTTAAGCTAAAAGTCGTAAAAGTCGGATCTGAAATAACTTAGAAACGAAGGATGAGGAGGACCTATACCTGATATCCAGTTACGATGCAGATTCCGGTTTTTCAGCCCGAGAAACGAAAAGAGAGAGAGACGAGGAAGATCGAAGCGGATTTCTCTTTCTCGTTTATTTACCTCTAACAGGTTAAGGTATGCAGCCATAACTAAATGTAGAAAATTTTCACAAACTCAACATTTCTCGTCTCCCTTCAAATGCATTTATTTATTTATTTTGTCATTCTGCATATGCTGCACACATACGTGGTACGTGCCGCTAAATACAATTCAGTTCTGCATTTTTTAGACACGCAATTGGGTAATACTGTGTAGCACAAAGTACTCTGCGGTAGCAGTTTTCAAAAAAAAAGAAACAAAAATACCGTTTGAAATCCTATACAATCACCGCTTACGTATGTCACTTGTATTTTCACCTTTTATCTCGTTTCGTCTCATTGTTTAAAACAAAGAAAATAGTTTTATAATGTATCAGAGGAAAACCTAATGATTAATAAAATATGAGTAAGAGTTTGAAGACTCTTGCGTAGGTATTTATAATTGATAAATAAAAACAAAGAGCAAAGTAGAAACCTTTTTTTTAGACATATTTATTTGATAATTTAAATGTTAGGATTATTTTCTCAAATCAATGATTCACGTGCTCGAATTGTAAATTCCGCATACGTTATTTTAGAGAAGTTTTGGCAATTCGTAGAATTTTTATATTGAAATGTATTAGAAGAAGGTGCGGTTTCATCAGAACTCGTATGCGTTGAATAAATAAAGAAGACACGTTCGTTTCGGGAAAATTTATCCTAGCATTCCCACGGTGTCTCACGGATATTTTTCTTTGGGATTAGCATGGATGGCTTCAAAAGGAGTGAAGGTGTCTGTAAAATTATTCCCGATCTATCAATACAAATAATAATATACCGTTAATCCACCTGTTTCTGATTGTAACCGAATAGTCATTAAAAGTTGCATCGCTAGGTAATGCACATTTAGCGAAATGCGACACGCTGGCTGCCGTATATTATTTTAATTTCCATTTAAATTAATAAAAGAATATATGGAAATAGCATCACGCATATATGCAAATACATTCGGCGCACGTTTCTCAAACTTGCTACATGGCTTATATTTCAGCGGAATTAAAATATTTACCAGTGTGTTTCTTATTGTTTATGAACGTGCGAGTTCATGCTATTGCAGTCCTAGAAAACTAATTGACTAGCACTAAGATCTGATAAATTAAGTCAAACTAAAAGCTATTTTATGTTGCTAAAAATATCGCCCTTAGGCATACAAATAAATCTTGTTCTGTTCATCAGGTAGTTTTCGGCTTTGGAAAATGTAACCGCCCCAATCCTTACCCTTCTGGAGAGGTGTGTGATTAAATCATTTTTGTTAAGTTACTGAAATGTGACGCGATTAGAGATGCCAGACTCATGACATTACAGGCGCCCACTTTAAAACTAACTAGATGGGAAAAGTTATCTAAAGTTAACGAGATTGCACTTCTTATCATCAAATATATATATACTAATTGATTGCGAGAGTACAGATACTAAATTTATATTTGTTCTTTTTAAAAATGACAATATTGATCGGTTATATTACAGTAAATGCGACAACCAATAAAATGTAAATTAGTTATTACATACATTTCCACTTCTGATTTAGTAAAAAATATGTTAATACTTTTATTAGGAGTTCTGTATACACTGGTTAGTAAGTGTGTATATTAACTACGATTTTACTGCAACGTATTTATAATCCAAAAAATAAACACAACTTTTTAAGCCCGTTTAATGATAGTACACTATTAGGCTTAAGAAGATATTTCTAGTGATTATATTTTCATTATTCACAATTTATTATATTAAAAGCAAGGAAGTATATCATCAACGTCACTAAAAACATGCATCATCATTAAGTTAATCATTATATACATGCACTTTTGTACTTAAACATCTAAATATCATAATGTACTTAACATACATACAATGAATAAATAAAAATAAAGTAAATATTATTGTATACTAAAATGAAAGAAGATACCAAAACAAATGGAAAAAAGAATTAATAAGAGTGATATTATATACAAAAAAATAGCAAATAAATTGGTTATTTTTTTTATAAATATATAAATACGAAATTTAAGTTTCTCTTTTAAATAACATGTACAATTATACATTTTTGTTCTATATGATATTATAGTTATTCGTATTGTGAATTATTATTTGTAATACAAATAACTTTTTAAATATATTATTTGTGTAAATCTATATATTAATTCAGATTTGTAATTTACATATTTTTATATGTTTAGGAATATGTTAATAATAAAAAGTTTTTA